GTTGGGCCATTGAAATATTAATATAGGACATTTAAGTTGCTCGAATAAATAAACATTTTTTATAGTATAATCGTGTCGCATAATTATATAAATATTATGTATAAATCAAATATTACAACACATATAAAAATTACATTTAATTTAAAAATTAAACATATATATAAAGTATTATGTATAAATTTTTTATGTATAAGTATTATGTATAAATATTTTGAAATATCAAAGACTATGGCTGAAATAATTTTATGAAATAATTCAATCATCAAAATAATTATGCAAGATGCTTTAATACGATACTCCAAAAATTTTGATATTCTAGCAACCAATATACATGTATCCGATGTATACGAAAAAAAGAGAAACGTGCAACTAAATACCGAATACGCAAACACTGAGTATCCTCAGACGGGCGGATAACAGACGAGATCACATTAATAACCCCATAAAGCACATTGGGGCTCCATAAACGCGACTTTGCGCATCCGGATGCTCGCTCAATGTCCACGCTTTGTGAATCACCGGAAGTCGGCCAAGAATCACGGGCGCGCTCGCGAAGAGATTCCGGCCAAATCGGAAGGGGCGTGCAATCGGAACTCCAAGTCTCGTTGTAAATATTGATCGAGTCTGTGCAAACGCTTCCCGGAAACGGGAGCGGAATCGATAGCATTGCGCTCGTGAGAAACAGAGAGAGAGAGAGAGAGAGAGAGAAGGAGCGAGAAAAAGAAGGGAAACGAGAGAGGCGTTTCTACGCACAAACGTCCACGTATTCGCATCGCGGTTTGCACGCTTCTCGACCGAACGGATATACCTGGAATCGGTGACCAGGATCCACCAGGTGCAAAAGGTGCAAACTTGTTTCGCACGTTACGCACGTACGACGGCCAATCGCGGGTAGATAGTCTTCCGGGAATGAACGAGTAGATACCGGTTGTTCCACGACAACCGGTGGGATCGGTAAAGTCCACCCGTTCGCAAATCCTTCCGCCGATTCTCAGGTCCTTCCCATTCCGCGAAACGTAGGAAACGAGCGTGTCATTTCCAATTAAACAGCTCAATTACTTTGGCTCTTTATTTATATCCATTTGGTATGGAACAACATTTATAACATTTTATAATCCGTTTTTCCGAGAAAGAGGGCTGCTGAAAATTGCAGGAAGAACTTAGAAATGAGAGAATTTTGTCGGACAAAGTTGAGATACATCCACAATCCGACGTTCCACGTGGCGCGAGCCTTGCGACCTTGACTTCGAAATTCCGCGAACAAAAGTGTGGGCGCGCAATTTTTATGACGGTCGGAGGAGGACACCTCTGACATTTCACGATTCGGTGATACATTATTGCGCCCACGGGCAGCGTACCAAGTCCTATGACTAAAGCACGCGCGCATTCGTCAATGGGTTGCCTCGCCAGAAATATAGCGCGCGCCTTCTAGTCACGCCCGCTTTTAATAGATCTTCTTTACACGCGGGAGTTTTGCACGGGGGGAGAAGCCGTTTCGAGCATCATACTCGTTGTGTAACACGAAACCGTGGCCGGATAACGATGACGGCGATGTAACCCTTGTAATCCCTTCGCCGTGACAAACGCGTTCGGTGAAGACTTTCATAGGCGGGAGTGTGTCACATAAGCCTTGCGAGAAATAAAAGGATAAAGTTCGATCTTCGCTCACACTTTCGGAGAATTGCGTCTAAATTTTTTACTTCCATACCCACTTCTCTCCGCGAATAAAAATTGCATTTCCCTCCCTCTTTTTTTTTTTTTTTTATTTTTATAAAGATTTACGGGATTACGCCGTTCTGGTCTCGTTGCGTGTCTCGTTCCGTTCGTTCGCGCACGTGGCGCGTCGGGAGAGCAATCTAATTTGCGCGAACGATCCGCGCCCAGATCGTGCCGGGAGAGAAGATCGAGGGGAGCATCGGGAGGAATTGTAAACTAAGCCAACTGGTGCCGCGAGGATGTGCCGCGATGTGTCGCGCCGTGGCGATAACCGCGCGTCGGCGTTATCGGCGTGGCGTCGCGGTCGAGAGGCGCGCGCGCGCGCGCGAATTCGTTACGACTGATAAAATCCGTCGGCGTGTGCCTGCGTGTGAGCCGCGTATCCGGCGCGCGTTTCATTCATGGAACGGCGGCACGGACGGCCGTGCCGTGCGTGCGCGTTTGTGTTTGCGAACCGCCGTTTCTATTTTCTTTTTTCTTTTTTTTT